ACCCACACTGATCCCCACAATCTTGTAGAATGTCCTGTCACACCATAAAGCTTCTGTATGGCTTCTGGTACTCCTTCGTGATCTAACACCTTGATGCTCACAAGGGCCACACCATAAAGCTTCTGTATGGCTTCTGGTACTCCTTCGTGATCTAACATCTTGATGCTCACAAGGGTTTGCTGAGATGCAGAGTCTATAACGCCTCCGTTCGTTAGTTAATTTTCCATAACTTCGTTCTGACGAAACTTTAGCGACACAAGTCCTTTCTTAAATAAAACTGGTTTATTCTTTCCGAATACAACTTTACGATACACTTAATTTCAACAGTCACGCTATAATTCTCAACAAATGTCTCACGTGCTCAAATTCAATTACACACTCTCTGTCTGCAGTTCAATTACTCACTACCTACACATTGTCCCGTCACGCTGTGACCATCCCATATATACCAGACTACCCCCAATCTAGCAATCTCCCGACAATTCACGAAGGTTCGAGAAAGAAGTGGTGTGATACTAGTCAAGTGACCTCTCTGACGCAACAGTATAATACCTATCGATAGATATATAACTTGATGGCAAAATGTGTTTGCCCTTGAATCACAAAATAGAAGCAGGTAAACAAATTTTAATTTGGGTATGTAATTAAGTACAGATAGTACCAAAGCCACAAGCATGTATTCCAAACTTGTTGGTTATCCAAAAAATTAAGAAGATTCCACTTAGTTTTTAAAAGACCTCGTTAAGAAAATACTTTGAGAACAAATTACGTATACTTTGTGCTGTCAACCATTTTCTCGCATTACTTTCATTAATTATCATTTTAAAAGAACTTGTAGGATTTATGAAATTCCTATTAAGAAATTAGTACTATTAACATGTTTATAAGACATAATTTATTATTTTGAACTTTGGATTTTTTCATTTTTAGAGTTCCCCCCCCACCATTTTGAAAGGGTTCTACTGCTAATAAGTACTTTTGGTACTTTTAATGCTAACATTTTTATGTTAATCTGTAAAAGTAACTACTTTACTGATTTTGGGGTTTTTTCAGCACGAGAATGTTCTGGAGATGAGTTCCGTTGTGGAGATGGATCATGTATATCTAATGCATTAAAATGTGATAGAAAGTATGACTGTGCTGATGGAACAGATGAAGTTGACTGCCGTAAGTAGCTCCATTTTTTTCCAAGCAGATTTGATGTGAAAAAATATGTTTAAAAAAAAAAAATCATGCTGCTTTAAACAGGTAACTAGACATGTATGTGCTGTTTCCACACACTGCTAACAGATTGTGGTGAAGTGTTCTCTCCACTTAATTATATGGCAATCTATCCAGTATGTGTGGCACTATCTGATACAGCTTACAGATCTGAGTCGTGTTGATCACATATCTAGAAGTATATACACTTAACTGTCGCACACAACTATGCTGGTTTAACACTAGGATGGAACTTACCAATATATTATGTTTCAGACTTGATGCCTTGTATACGTACTACAATTAAACTCAAGCTAAGTTTAATGTTAATTTATAATTAATCAAGTGTTAATTATGTACTTGAATTTATAATTGAACTGACAATAACACTAACTGTAATTAATTACATTATATGCTAGATCTTTTACATATGCCTATAATTAAACACATGGAAGTACTGTTTGTAACAAAAGAAACCACAAACTAACTCTTTACTTAAAATTGAAACATGGTAACATGTACTGAATCTTGCGATATACCTAAACACATGGCAGATTAGTATTTAGCAGTTCTTAACAGAATAGCTAAATTTATATCTAATCATGTGGTAAATAAGAATATAGATCTATAAAAATAAAGGTTAACGACTTGGAAGACCATGATAAGAGATTTATATTTTAATTTTCCTTCCCTTACAAATCGGTATTTTGGTTAGGGCATCTGACTCGCATTCTGAGGATTATGGGTTAAAATTTTGTCCCTAAACATGCTCACCCTTTCAGGTGTGATAGTCAGCACCACTATTCAATGGTAAAAAGTAGCCCAAGAGTTGGTCATGGGTGATATATACTAGCTGCCTTCCCTATAGTCTGTCGCTTCAAAATTAGGGATGGCTAGTGTAGATGGCCCTCAACTAGCTTTGTGTGAAATTCAAAGATGAACAAATCTGTTTTTCCCTTCTCCTTTATTGTTCTTTCCTTTTTTTTTATTCCTTTTATTTTCTTTCAATATTTGTCCACTTTGTATCATAAACTATCCCATTTAACTTTTTACTAGGATCCACTATCCTTTTTAGTGTTTATTTTTGAATAGTCCTAGGCCTATTGTGAATTTGAAATGCACCTAAGAAACATTAGTCCTCATTGGTTATTGTTGGGAAAACTACAATCTACAGTCTTCTGTAAGGCCTGGGCTTGTAGGCTGATAAAAGAAATTCTATTCAATATCTACACTGGAGACTTGCAGTATAAAGACTAAGTTCCATGATTGTGCATGTGCCTTCTTTAACTGGAACATTCTGTATTCACAGTAACCCACAGACACCATCCGATCAGGAGATTGCCTAAATAGCATCTTAGGACACAGACATTGATAGACAGCTATACAATCACCAGTGAAATTTTTGGGTATCAACAGATCTCAGATGTCCCTATGTGGAATATATATATATGTGTATGATGCCATTTCAACATGTGGAAATTGGCCGAGACATCTGTATCGTACATTTCATGAAGACCATTAATACATTGACCATAAATTCTTAATCTCCCCCCCCCCCTCCAGATTTCATTGGGATAAGCTCCTGTGCCAAGGAAGCTGTTGGTCAGTGTGCATCCATCTCAAGAATGGCAGTCCCATTCTAATAGGCACCTTCACTTGCATGCCTTGTTTAGGGTAGACAAAAAAGGGAGAGGTCTGAAAAGTGAGTGGCTTATGTATTTAATTGCCTACAAATAATAATACATTAAAAAATAGAACATGATGAGAGCTCAAGAAACAGAGAAACAGAGCTCAAGCAATCAGCAGGAGGACTTGGACCTCTTCAGCACTAGTAAAGGAAAAATTGCAATTATGGCACCAACAGAAGAGGAAACAATAGGCAAGTATACAGCCAGAAGGCCACTTGTAACATCAGTAAAGGAGCTTTTCTACCTCCTACAAGGGAGCCAGCCTTCACATGATGGGGTCAGCATCTGTTGAAACAACCTCTGGGATTTACAACTAGTCCTCAACTCAATAAAACTTTATAAAAAGGATCTGACATTAATTCTGTTTTACAAATCAAATTGTACATTATGCCATCACCTTTGTAAGAATAAACAAATAAATAAACAATGAGGAAAACTGATAGATCAATCATTTTGTGAAGAAAATATTTTATGCAGACTATTACACAACTTTTATTTCAAGCAAATGAGGCTACTTACGACAATCGACTTCATCAGATCCATCAGCACAGTCATACTTTCTGTCACATCTTAATGTACTACGTATACATGATCCATCTCCACAACGGAACTCATCTCCAGAACATTCTTGTGCTGAAAAAGAGTAAATTAGTTTTTCTTTCAAATTATTGTAACAAACAAAGTATTCTAAGTATGTATTCTTTAGATAAATACTATTTCAATACTGAACAAGTAATTAAAACAGTGGAATTGGAACATAAGCAAATAAACTGTTGAAGGACCTCTTCTGTGAAACTTGTAAATTATCTGTAATTTTGTTAAATGTGAAGTGTTATAAACTGTTTCTATTATATACAAAAAGTGTTATACAGTTGTAACTACAATAA